GTGCTCCTGTGAGCTGGGTGTGTGGTCCCATCCTGCCTCGAGGTCTAGTTAGTCCTCGCGGTGCCAGGTCCACAAAGACGACAGGGAGGCTGTGCTGGCGTCTCTGGATCCCCAGAGAGTGCCGGGGGGAGGCCGCACTGCCCTGCCGAGTGGAGAACACCAACCACCACCCTGGAAAGCACCGCGTCAGCTGGTCGGACGCACTGGGACGGACCCCGCAGCACAGGGTTCTGCGGAGGCTGTGACACACGTGCACTGGATGGCCTCACGCTACGACCGTGACAACACCACAGGTGTTCACCCTACGTCCTCGAGAGCCTGGGTGCTGCCCGTGGCGCTTTGGGCCTTTTACAGGAAGATGGAGTGTGGGCCTGAAGGTGGGGTCACGGGCAGAGGAGGCAGCAGCGTGAGCCATTGTCTCGAACCCCAAAGCTGCCCTGGGCTTGCTGACAAGGGAGACACGGACATAGCGCTTAAGACGGGAAAGAGGGGAAGCAGCTCCGTTTTCTCTGAACTGAGCTTTATGTACTAGCGAGCGATTATAACAGCGGCCGTTTCTGAACTTTGGCTCTGTAGGGAGCCGTGTCTGTGGCCGCATGCAGTTAGTACGAAGGCCAGGCAAGCCCAAGTGAGGCGTTCGGTCTCAGATGCAAGCACAGCAGATCAGCTTGGCCACAGTGGAGTTCTTACCTTTCGGTGTCCTTGGTGTGTAGGAACCCTTAGTACCTTTGACCTGCGCCCCCACCCCTCACCCCCAATCAGCCAGCCATTCCCCAAGGCTCTTGGGCTCCCTGAATCCCGAATGTTCTGTATCCTTTGCCCTTTTTATCAGCACAGAGAGGCAATCACCCTCACAGCTCCCTATTAAACAGTCTTTTTAGGATGGAGAGATTGCTTAAAGGGGTCCCTGTAATCAAAACTGACTTCAAGGAGATTCTTATTTCACTTCCCTTCTAAACGTGGGAGCTGCCATGTTACGTTCCAGTATTTACATGTTAAAACTTTACACCTTAAAAAACTTGAGTCCT